TTTTTTTTTTTTTTTTTGTGACAGAGTCTCACTGTTACCCTCAGTAGAGTGCTGTGGTGTCACAGCTCACAGCAACCTCAAACTCCTGGGCTCGAGTGATTCTCTTGCCTCAGCCTCCCAAGCATCTGGGACCACAAGCACCCAGCACAATGCCTGGCTGTTTTTTGTTGAAGTTGTCATTGTTGGTTAGCTGGCCTCTGCCCGGGCTCGAACCCACCACCTTTGGTGTATGTGGCTGGCACTGTAACCACTGTGCTACAGGTGCTGAGCCAAAAAATATCATTTTTAATACTATTTTTCCAAGTCCAGAATAATGTATTGGATTTAATTTTCATAATTGTTTGGGCTCCTTTAATCTAATTTTTTGGGGGTGGGGGCCGGGGCTGGGTTTAAACCTGCCACTTCCGGCATATGGGGCTGGCGCCCTACCTTTTTGAGCCACAGGCGCCACCCCGGGCTCCTTTAATCTAAAGACAAAAATTCCTCAGCCTGCCTTTTGTCTTATTTGACGTTGGCATTTATTTTATAGAAGGTTCCTCATCTTGGCAGTGTTTGATGTTTGTTTCCTCATGATTTGATTGGGGTTATTTCCAGCCATCTTTCCTTTGACAACTCAGTATAATTATTTAGTTTTCTTACAGATGCTTTCTTTATGTGTGTTATAGATGAGGCCGTTCATAAGTATGGAAAAGAAAATGTGAAGACCTATTCAACCTCCTTTACTCCAATGTACCACGCGGTCACCAAAAGGAAAACAAAATGTGTGATGAAAATGGTCTGTGCCAACAAAGAGGAAAAGGTATAGAAAGATCCAGTAAGCCCGACAGCGCTCTGCCAAGTTGACAGGGAGGGTGGTATGTCGGTGTGCGTAAGGGGAAGGAGACAAGCCTGTTACGCTTTCTGATTAAGTGGGACAGTTACACTGGTATGTGTCTCATATATATTTTGGGATTCTTCATAATATCTCATTTAGAAAGAAGTTTCCGCCAGGTAAGATGGCTCACACTGGTAATCCTAGCACTCTGGGAGACTGAGGCAGGTGGATTGCCTGAGTTTACCTGTTCGAAACCAGCCTGAACCAGATTGAGACTTTTTTTCTTTTTTTTTTTTTTTCTTTTTTTGGAGACAGAGCAGCAAGCTGTCGCTCTGGGCACAGTGGCGTGGCAACACAGTTCACGGCAACTTCTAATTCCTGGGCTTAAGCAATTCTCTTGCCTTAGCCTCCCAAGTAGCTGGGACTACAGGC